ACGTGTGCTCTTCCGATCTTTTATGAAGTCACAAATTTGCCGAGAACATGCAAAGCGTATTATACAAAAGTTTCAGATCACATACGCCACCTATTTAAAAACAAGAGAAGTAGTTTTTATCAAACATTCCAAAAATTTTAATTGGGTAAATTGGGCACGCTTTATTAAATAATGATATTTCAATTTCCGAACGCAAATGGGCCATTTAAAGCAGTAGTCGATTTTTTTAATGAAACAGTATTTTTTATTGCAGATTCCGATTCTACACAAAAAAACAAAATTTTTCTACCAAGCATTTTTTTGAAAAATATCAACAATAAAAGATTTCTTTTTATTTAAAAAATCGACATCCAGTTTGACCAGGCCATTTCCGTTCGAAACCGGAAGTTAAAAATATCATCGATAAAGCGTACCAGACTTACTTATCAAAATTTTTCAGATTGTTGATAAAAACCACTTCCTTCGTTTTGAGTAGCGCGGATTGTCTGAGGCGCTCTGTATAATTCGTTATATATATAATTAATTGAAAGTATATATTTGGCAAACACAGATTATAACTGCAATACAGCAATATTATAACATTTTTGCAATATAGTTGGAATATTATAATATTGCAGCAACATGCAATAATCTGTATTTGCTAGGTAGTAAGTTTTATATTTATCTCGTATTCTATAGATATAATATAATATGTTATTGTATACTAGTATCCTTTGCTGGGTATTAAGTTTGATATTTTTATCTCATATGTTTTTGTATAATATGTTAATGTATACTAGTATTATTTACATTGCACGATGCAAACAAGATGACGCAAAATAGTAGCAACCCGAGTAACAAGGTGACGTCAAATCACATTTGAATAATAGCTTATTAACATTAAATAATAAATATTATCAAGATGTCTTACTTAACGTCACCTTGCTGCTTAGATAAGTATTATATAAATTATAACATTAAAAGCGAGAAGATATATATTAAAATTTCTTATAATAAATTTTTAATAAAATAACACTTGCAATCAATAAACTTGACTTGCAAAATATATTGAAAACTCCTCTTGCCTCTTCATGAAAATTTAAACTAGATTGAAAAGACAATATGTCATGAGCGTATATCATTACGTCGCAATATATGAATGTCATACAAATATATCATGCTTTAGTCTTTGATTTGGGCACCAAACGCATTCATTGATAATTCACTAATTGTAATGAATGTTACAGATGTTAAGGTTCTCTCAGTCGTTAAATAACAAATTGTTAAAAAGTTTTCATGTAAACGATTCTAAACTGAAATTTGCAAAATTAATTTTTAAGAATTAAGTTATAGAATTTTCATACAAATTTTTCCTATAATAACGTTTTAACAGAAACTATCTAAAATCAAGAAACGCGGTAGAATTTCGCGCCAAATTCACGCGCAACATAATTGCGTAGAACATTGAGGAGACCTCGGATTCATGAGGAGGCAAGAGGAGTTTTCAATATATTTTGCAAGTCAAGTTTATTGATTGCAAGTGTTATTGAAAATTTATTATAAAAAATTTTAATATGCATCTTCTCGCTTTTAATGGTATAATTTATATAATACTTATACAAGCAGCAAGGTGACGTTAAGCATGATGTCTTGATAATA